AACTCAGGTGTTGAGTGGGAATAGGAAGAAAACAAAAACCTCTTTCCTTCAGATCTTTCTGTTCTCTCTAATTAGTTATTTACATTATTGTTAAAAATAATAACTCTGTTTGTTCTCCTATGTTGATCAAGGAAGAACTATTTCAGATTTCAGGAAGTCATCTAATAGTTATTTCTAAAATCACAGATTTAAAAAGAAATGGTAACAAATGGGTCTGTAAAAATTAAAGTCCAAAAATAACCAGTGAATGTCACGTATTCCATTTAAATGCACCAAATATGTAAATTGAGGAAGTACTTAAAGAAGGCTGCCTAAGTGAAGTGAATTTCAATACAGTGACTTCTCAGTGCATGAAATATGTCTTCAGTAATAGGTCAGTGGAAAAGCATTAGCAAAGGAACAAATGGGTTATCAGATACATGGTATGATATTCAATGTTACCTTGAGCTAGATTCTTTCTATTTTCCAAAATATTTGTTCTTCAAATAAAATATGAGGGTGCTTCAAAAAAGTGTGTAAAAAATAGATAATTTTGGTGCAATTTTTTTGAAATCTATAAAGTCTTCATAAAATACAAAGTTTCCATGAACTTTGTGAAAATTCCTCATGTATAACATCTGTTGTGTTTTCACTTCATTAAATACATTTTAGTCAAAATCGCTCAAAATTCACAATTGGATAGATGTAATGCAGAATATAAAGGGATAGCAAAGTGCAAATATTTTATAAAGTTTAATTAGTTGGCTTTTAAAATAGGCTAATAATGTGATACCACTGAACTTTCAAAAATGTATCTCTCAATAAAACTATATCTGGGACATAATTATCTTTATTACAAGATGCTATGAATCTCAGTACACACCGATCAGACTTAGTAAACCCTGTACGTCTAACTTCCTTTCAGCTAGTTCCACAGAAATCCATACGCATTTCGGTAAATGTAGAAAACGCAGTAAAGTCGTTGTTCTTTGAGAGAACGCCTCTGATACTAGGATTGGGCCGCCACAGGGCATTGCAGAAGCACAAGTTCTTTGCAACCGCGGGGCAAACTGACTCTGAGCTAACAGCAGAATCCCTCAGTTTTTGCTATTGAGAGAGAGGAGAGGAGAGGAGAGGAGAGGAGAGGAGAGGAGAGGAGAGGAGAGGAGAGGAGAGGAGAGGGAGAGAAGGCAGAGGGAAGAAGTAGAGGGAGGGAAAGAGGGGAGGAGATGGGGGAGAGGTGTAGAAGATGCAGAATGAGCGTGAGAGGAGAGAAGAAGAGAGAGAGAGGAGAGAGAAGAGAGAGATAGGAGAGAGTAGAGAGAGAAGACGAGAGA